CAATATGTTTGGCCTCAATAATTATCCATAGTCACAGATCAGAGAAACTAACAAAAATTAGCATTCCCATTAGTAAAGGTCAATATTAACGCACTCCTTTTGAGAATAATGAAAAAATACACACTTATACATGCGGGTATGTTGGTTGATAATAGCATGTGGCATTGTTTCTTGATCTTGGCTGCATAGGTACATGCTCAGTATTTTTTTAATGATTTTTTAAAGTATGTTTTTTTCATTGATTTTGAGAGAGAGAGGAAGGGAGAGGGATAGAGAGATAGAAACATCAAAGAGAGAAAGACATCGATCAGCTGCCGCCTACGTGCCTCCTATTGGGGATCCAGCCTGAAACCCAACCATGTGCCCTGACTGGGAATCGAACTGGGGACCTCTTGGTTCATGGGTTGGTGCTCAACCACTGAACCACACTGACCGGGCTTTAATGATCTTTTAAAAAATTATTTTGCCAATTTTAAAGGCATGATTTCTGTTTTACAGTGACAATTCATAAGTGAAATATTTTTATTCATTGCAAATATAATTTTTAAAATATTTTCATTGTGGTAAAATATACATTAAAAAATTTACTGTTTTAATTGTTCTTAAGTATTCAGTTCAGTGAGTGGAGATAAGAATATTCACGATATTGTAGAACCATCTCCACTATCTATTTCCAGAGCTTTTTCATCATCCCAAACAGAATTCCATTTATTAATTAGTAACTCCCATTCCTTCCTCTCCCCAACCCCTGGCAACCAATATTGTAGTTTCTATATCTTCTAACTACTTCATACTAGTGGAATCATACAATTGTCCTCTTATATCCAGCTTATTTTAATTAACATGTTTTCAAAGTTTATCCATGTTGTATAATATATCAGAACTTTATGCCTTTTTAAGGTGAATGATGCCCCATTATATGTCTACACACATTTGCTTATCCATTCGTCTGTTTATGGACACTTGGATTGTTTCCATTTTTCAGCTATTGTGAGTAATGCTGCTCTGAATGTGGGTGTACAAGTATCTGTTTGAGTCCCTGTTTACAGTTCTTTTGTGTATATACCTAGGAGTAGAATTGCTGAGTTATATGATAATTCTGTGTTTAATTTTTTGAGGAATCACCAACTTTTCCACAGCATCTCTGCCATTTTATGTTCCCACCATCAGTGCATGAGCGTTCTAATTTCTCCACATCATCACCTACACTGCTAATTTAACACTTGTTTATTTTTGTTTTTTAATACTGTAGCTATCCTAGTGGGTATGAAATGATATCCCATTGTGGTTTTGATATGCATTTCCGTAACGACTAATGCTATTGAGCATATTTTCAGGGGCTTATTGGTCATCTGTCCATCTTTGGGAAAATGTCTATTTGGGTAATTTACCCCCTTTTTTATTCTAGTTTCATTTTTAAATCATGATTTCTCCAGCTGGGTTCTGTGGACACATTCTAAAGCAAGTGGGTCTAGCTCTTTTAGTTTGAGCTTCCATTGGGGAACCCAGGCGTTTGGGCTCGAACAGCACTGCCTCCTTTTATCTCTCTAGCCGTGGGTTGGTAGTGACTTCTTGCTGTCACTAATCTTTGAGTCACTTCACTGTTCCGTGTTTGACCCTCAAGTCCTTCATCAGTTATGTATCAAGTTATTTTCATTACGTTATCAAACTGATGTAAATATTTGATATGGTTTCTGTTTCCCTGGGCAGACCCTTCCTGGTATAGAACCTAAACTCTCTCCTTTTAGAGTTGAGAAAATGTTGACCTTATTTTTTTTCCAGATACATTTTAGAATTAATTTGGTTGTGTTCAGTGAAAGCCTTGCTGGCAGTCCTGAAACTGGGAACTTCATGAATTTCTTCAGATTCATGAAGTTAGTCGAAGGCCAGGTATTGGGACCATAAAGCCGTGATTCTTAATCCGTTTCTCCTTCTGATAAATTAAAACTTCCAAGGTAGGGAACTGGGTAACTAAAGGAGTGGGAGAGAGGCGTGTTTTTTTTTTTCACTATTATAGTTTTATTCCTTATGATTTTTTTTTTAAATCCTCACCCAAGGGTATTTTCCCTATTGCTTTTCAGAGAGAGTGAAAGGGAGGGAGAGAGAGAGAAACATCGATGTGAGAGAGACATCGATTGGTCGCCTCCCGCACAAGTCCTGAAGGGGGTTGGGGATCGAGCCTGCAACCCAAGTGTGTGCCCTTGGCCAGAACTGAACCCTGGACCCTCACTCTGCAGACTGACGCTCTAGCTACTGAGCCAAACTGGCCTGGGCTCCTTTTGATTTTTAACCACATAAATCTTTTACCTATTTAAAATCAACAAATTTAAAATCTTTAAAGTAAAATAAAATGTCTACCTTTATACATGTGGTATATAAATGTAGGTCTTTACAAAGTGTCTTTAATTTGTTTAAAATGACATTATGCTTGCTAGTTATTAGTTATCACAAAACAGAAGACTTCACTAAGCATACAATTATTTATAAGCTTATGCGCACACACAGCGTAGTTCTATATAAATAAATCTGCATTAATCCCATTTATTTTCTGTTTTCTAGAATAATGATCTTCAAGCATTTTTTGGTCATAGTTTCCTATATGTACATATACTCCCATTATATTACCGTATATTTATTTATAATTATAATAAGTACATGGACCACTGAACTAATGTATACATTATAAAACATTAACAAAAGTTGACATTTGTAAAAAAACAAATAAACAAGGTAAACAAATTAAGAGAAGAAATTCTAAAGCTTTTTCTCCACCTCAGTAGTTTATCTTGTACCTTCTGGGGTACAACCTCCCTACTTGGACACTGTTCTAGAACGTTTCAGTTAAGAACTGCTGCCCCACTGGGTGCGGCTCAGAGGTTGAGCATCGACCTAGGATTCAGGAGATCGTGGTTCGATTTCCGATCAGGGCACATGCCTGGGTTTCAGGCTCGACTCCCAGCCGGGGGCGTGCAGGATCAATGGTGTGCAGCCAATCCATGGCGATTCTCTCATCATTGATGTTTGTCTCTCTCTCGCTCTCTCGCTCTCGCTCTCCCTTCCTGTCTCTGAAATCAATAAAGATATATTTATATATATATATATATATTTTTTTTAAAAAAAAAAAAAGAGCTACTGAAGGGCCGGGCCTGTGTGGCTTCGTGGTTGAGCATCAACCTATGATCCAGGGGATGATGGTTTGATTCCCGGTCAGGGCACATGCCCAGGTTGAGGACTCCAAAGCTGAAAGATCTCAGGTACTCAATTTGTTGAAGTGCCCACATATTCACCAAACTTAGTGAAAATATTTAAAGTGATTGACTTCAACTCCCTAGCCTATTTTAAATTCCTTAATTTAAACCAAAGCAGTAAAACTGGCTCCAAAAACACATTTGCTTCGATTCTAGGCAGTTTCTGACAGCTATAGTGAGAGTCTGATTTGCATCGCCTCTGAACTTAGGAATCACATCCCTAGTATACATTAGACTCTTAATCACCAAAGATCAACTAACCTTGAGACAAAATGGGAGCAGTTATGTGTACAGAGAGGAGCCTAAAATGGTAATGGCATCACAAAACTGACTAGCTTCTATCTTTAAAAATACGTTAACACAACTGACAGACAAAGTGGAAACAGAGACATGGATGGATACATTTTTTTAAAAAGTTAACTCAGGAAATTGTGCTGTTATCTGGAGTCTTTTTAAGGTTAGTAAATGTAATGACTGTCTCCTATCTGAATTTAAACAGCTCAAAACTGAGCATTAGAGTAATCCCTGCGGAAGGCTAAGGTTTCCATGGAGCTCTCTGCGTGGCCCGGCCCAGCCCAGCCTGCAGAGCCTCTGCTGGTGCCTCAGGAGAGCCTGCAGAGTGCCGGACACCAGGACGACACAAAGTTGAACGAGACCCTGATTGTTTAGGTCAGTGACATTTAGGAATTCATAATTCGATCATGGAGAAAAGTTCATACTTAAAACCAGAACACTCGAAATGATTACTTGCCAGGGAAAAACAGGACAAGGCTTCCCAGAGGGAAGGCCCCTTGGTCTGGACGATGAAGGTGAACTGTGTAGTTCAGGAGGAGAGGAACAGGAGCAGTGGGAAGGTAAAGACAAAGAAGTCCAGGAAAGAGAAATTAACAGCTGGGTGGAGTGTATCATCTCGTGTGAGTGGTGTCAGGAAAGCCGGGCATGACCATTATCCGTACCTTACACACGGAGAAGCTGGCTCAAGAAGGCTAAGTAACCAGCACAAATCACATGCAATCATCTGCTGCAGAGGTTCCTTCAGGCCTGCGTTAGCTAGGTGAGTGCGTGTGGTGGTACCAAAATTTTACTGTATATCCTTCGTAAGGATACAGAGTTGCATTTACCAGAACTATTATTAGGAAGTATAGTGTACGCGCTGGGAAAATAAAGGATACATAAGCTATTTGAGATGCTGATGTCCTCAAGGTCCCATAGGGCATGCTGGCGTAGCTGGTGCTAAACTTCACAGGAGGCTATTTTCCTGAATGAGGCCTGCACATTTCCCAGTAATACTCAGGAGCCTCTTCTTTAAATAAATGTTTAACAGATAGTTGAGGACTATTAATTTAAAGGGGCTCAAACTAATAGTGTGCTCAGGTGCCCCACTTGTTGTGACTGGTTATAGAAGGGTTAATCCTAAATCTGCTTAACTCCAAAGCCGTCGCTGTCTGAGATGTGCAATGCTGCCTGTGGCATGAAACTAAAATGCAGACAGGCAGATAGGCAGCCAGATCGACAGAGAGATAGATGCGGAAATGGGGAAGAATTAAATGGTGATTCTAAAGATTGTACTGCTGGCAGTCTTCTCACAGGAGTGTCTGATTACAATCTTAGTATTGTATTTTATTCAACTTTTTATCATAACCACAAATTTTTCAGGTAGCTTAAATCCTTTGGGGAACAAGATGAGGTAAGAATGAGTGAATTCATAAATCTCTACTGCTAAATCTTCCACTGTGTATTTGTTATCCTCAGGAAATTACTACAATCAAGGGGAGATTCGTAAGAAAGAACTGTTGCAGAGCTGTGATGTTTTGGGGATTCCACCCGCCAGTGTAATGATTATTGACAGCAGGTAATTCATCTGTATTTAATGATTTGACTGAGAGCACATCCAGTGTTTTACCATTAACAATGTTGGCTGCTGGTTATGAAAAATATTCTTCATCATGTTAAGCGCTGTTGGGAAGTGATGTTCATTGTGTTAGGGTGGCGGGGGGGGGCTCCTGTTCATTTCAGTGCCCTACAAAGAGATATGGGGAAAGTTTCAATTTATTCTCAGTTTTACTTGGCTCAGGGTAAACTATTGGGATCGTCGTAGGGGAGTTTCTTCTCTCTCTGTGCCAGTGGGTTTTGTAATGCTTTTTTTTTTTTTTTTTAATATATCTTTATTGATTTCAGAGAGAGGAAGGGAGAGGGAGAGAGACAGAAACATCAACGATGAGAGAGTCATTGATTGACTGCAGCCCACAACCTGGGCATCTGCCCTGACTGGGAATCGAACCCCGATCTCCTGGATCCTAGGTTGATGCTAAACCACTGAGCCACGCTCGACTGGGCTTTTAATACTTTTAAAAGCACAAATCTAGAGCCAGACTGCCGGGACTAAAACCCCAGCTTTATCAGATTATTAACTGTCCCACGTAGGCCAGTTGCTTAATCTCTGTCCCTAAACTTCTTCCTCTGTAACCCTTGGGAGATACATGGTTTTGAGTCATTTTGTGAAAGAAATCATTTGCTCACTTGTTTTCAAAGATGATGTGCTTCCCTTTTACATGGTGGGTGGGTATATGTTGTGATTTATTTTCTCACTATTAATATTAACGATAATATTAATGGGCTCCTCAGCTCAGGTACCCAGTGTGCACCCCTGTGCAGTGATAGCTTTGGCCCAGCACTGCAAGGTGTTGTTTTGAGGGTGAGATCTGAATTGTGAGAACTGTACTCAAACCAAAGACCTCAGCTTGGTTATCAAGATGTTTATTCTTGTCATGTCTTAATTTATTACATGTTTTATATATCCTGAAGATCGTGCAGCTTCAACAACATCCCCTACTTGTTGAAATGCTATTGTAGAGGGGTAGTAAAGGTAGTAAACTTGTTAAAAATAAAAATTTCAAGAAGCCCCAGTTTGAAGATGCAAAGAAACAATGTATCTTAGCCTGCTCAGGCTACCATAGCAGAATACCATAGACTGGGTGGTTTAAACAATCGTAATTTATGATCTCACAGTTCTGGAGGCTGGAATTCACAGATCACAGCCCAGCTGGGTAGGTTCTGGAGAGGATATGCTTCTGAACTTGCCGATGGCATCCTCTCAACCATATGTTCACATGGAGGGAGAGAGAAGAGAGAAATTTCTCTCTTTCTCTTCTTAGGCCACCAGTCCTATAGGATTAAGGTTCTACCATTATGACCTCACTTAACATAAATTACTTCCTAAAGACCCTATCTCCAAATACAGGCACACTGGGGGTTAACGCTTCAACAGGTGGATTTGGGGAAGATGCAGTTGGTCCCTAGCAATATGCAAGCTTTCATCTTTCAGCCTCTTACTTCACAATCCAGAAAAAGCAGAGCTTTAGAATTTTACTTTAGGTGATTTGGATTCTCATACTTCAAAGGGAAGAATGAAGGCTAAGGAGAAGAGAAAGTTTTATGGCGGGCCGACACTCACAATAGTAACAGTAAATCTGCACTTACCCATTATTGTCAGTACCGAAACTGTACTAAATACATGATCTTAGTCCTTAAAATATTCCAATTACTTGTCTGATATTATAGATAGGAAACCGAGGAATAGTGAGAGGTTGAGTAACTTGCCCGACATCATCCAGCCTAAGTGGTAGAGCTGACTTTGCATTGAAGCAGTTTGGCTCCCCACGCCATGTCTGACACGTTCTTTCACAAATTATCTCATGTAATTCTTCCACTACCTGCAGGATAGGTTGTATTACCCTTTTTCACGCAAGGAAACTGAAGCTCAGAGAGATTAGACTCCTCTGAGGCCTGGCTGGTGTGGCTCAGTGGTTGAGTGGTGAGTCATGCATCAAGAGGTCGAGGGTTTGATTTTGGGTCAGAGCACATGCCCTGGTTGCATGCACGATCCCCAGTAGGGGGCGTGCAGAAGGCAGCCAATCCATGTTTCTCTCTCATCGATATTTCTGTCTCCCTCTCCCTTCCTCTCTCCCTAAAATCAACAAAAACATATTTATTTTTTTTAAAATATATCTTTATTGATTTCAGAGAGGAAAGGAGAGGGAGAGAGAGAGATAGAAACATCAATGATGAGAGAGTCATTGATTGAGCCCGCAACCCGGGCATGTGCCCTGACCGGGAATCGAACCCCGATCGCCTGGATCCTAGGTCAACGCTCAACTGCTGAGCCATGCCCGGCCGGGCTAAAAACATATTTTTAAAACAAGAGAATCCTCTGTGGTCTCAGAGAATCCTCTCTCTTTTTTTAAATATGTTTAATAAATGGCAGTGCTAGAATTCAAAGCAGAAAGGAAGACAGAATCTATTCCCGGCTTTCTGCAGGAAAGTAGGCCACGGCACTTGAAAGACCAGTGTATGTCTAAGAGTCCATTTAATGACATAGTGTGTGGTCAGTTTTTCTTCTATCATTCTGAACTTCGTTGCTAGATTTCAGGGAAACATTTAGCCAGAGGAGCTTACTCAAGTAAACCCCTTAAAGAGGGGAAAAAATTCAGTTCTCAAGAAAAGAGTCATAATTTCGGTTGTTAGACACCTAAATGGATACTTTCAGTAACTCTCCCCAGTTCCTTAATATCTGTGGATTCTGTTAGTTTAATGAGTCATGTGATACTAAAGTGCATGTTGTTAACAGATACATATTAAGTGCCTGGAATGGGCAGGGCACCGTGATAGATGCTAAAGAGAGAAAGGAGCAGTTTAAGAGACAGGAGCTTGCCCAGCCGGGCGTGGCTCCGCAGTTGAGCATCTCCTAGGATCCAGGAGATCCCGGTTCAATTCCCGGTCAGGGCACATGCCCGGGTTGCGGTCTCCATTCCCAGTCAGGGGCGTGCAGGAGGTAGCCATTCAATGACTCTCATCATTGATGTTTCCATCTCTCGCTCTCCCTCTCCCTTCCTCTCTCTAAAATCAATAAAGACATATTTAAAAAAAAAAAGAGAGAGAGACAGGAGCTGAGCAGCAGGAGCCGGCAGGACCTCCCCGCCGCTGCACCTGTGGAGGGCTGTTACTGCGCGTGCTGAAGGCCAGGCCTGCAGAGGATCCGAGCCTGCCCCTGGGGTACCTGGGAATTGCATGTGATTAGAAAGTGCAACCTCTGGATTTAGTACTCATTTGTTGCTTTTGTGCTTTTAGTATATTAGGAAGAATCCATAGAATTATTTCATTTATATTTCAAAGGAAAATAAAATAAAAAGCACCCACATATTTTTGTATGCATAGATAGTTTCTAAAAGGATGTATACCAGACTCCTTAGGGTAGCTGCTACTGAAGTGGGGCTGGGAAGAGGAACACTTTCATTTTTCACTTTCACAGAATTTTGTACAGTTTGATTTTTTTAATGAAGCCTTTATTACTTTTAAAATTATATATATACACACACATATATATATTTTTTAAGACTACCCGACATATCTCATAAAACATTCTCTCTCTACTCAGCTTCTATCCATACGAGTGCCAAGTTAGAGATAAATCTGTGTAAATTTTGATATTTGATATGATAAAGTCAAAACAGAATAGAATTCCTTGGAAAAACAGTAATGCTTTTAAGCCTTCTTATAAACACTGTGGTATTCTCATAGGCCTCATTCTCGCGGGTGAGTGGGAAGAAGACCTGACACACTGCTGCAAAGCACTCTGGCTAGCATGGTGGGGATTCGAGGGGCCTGACTGTGACGAAATAAAACAAAGCTCACCCCTTATTGTAACCCATGACCACTGAAGTGCTCCGGGCCCAGTGACCTATTGTTTGGCAAAACTTGCAAGGTCTCAATGCTGTTTGTGGTCTGATCGCTGCCTCCCTGCTCAGCCCATCATCCAGCCCTGTTTTACCCACATCACATCTATTCCCGTAACAAAAATAGGTAGGACTGCCCAGTACCCCCAGCTGTGTCTCCTCCCTACCTCTGGTCTCCTATTTAAGCTGGGCCTCAAACGTACCATGCTTTCTTCTGCGTGCACACCTTTGCCTGTGCCAGTGCCTTCCTCTCGCATGCTTCCTCACTTCTCAACACCCCTTACTTTGTCTCTTTAGCCAGCTCCTATTCATACTCAAACCTCAGTTCAAGGATCACCTTAGACTCTGGCACCATCCTGATTTGCCCAGATTTTCTTGGACGGTTTCGTTGCATTATCATTGTCCCATTATATCCTAGCATGCACACTAATTTTCATTCTATGCCAGGAGCCCCTGTATTTTTTCTTCCTGTATCCCCAATCTTTGTCATAACCCTTGATACATAGTAATTTCTCAGCATATGTTTGTTGAATAAATGAATGATTCCACTTATACCCAAGCTTTCTACCTGTGGCCAGCATGTAAATGTGTGGTCTTGAAGAACTTGATGGATGCCTGTGCATCTCAACCTTCTTTCATCACTTTTTCTTCTTCTACCCAGAAGTAGTGATTAGCAAACCATTTTTCAAGACACGTGAAATTGTTTTCAAATTCTTTAAATAAATAAAACAGTCTGGGTTCCTGATTTGCATAGTTATTTTTAACCCTTTAGAAAGTTCTAAGTGAGTATTACAGTTTGGAAGGATTTTTCTACATCTCTTTATTTTGCCATTCCATAGATTTGGCTACATTGTCCTAAGGTTTCAATACATTAAAAATCTCATTTTTCCCAGAGCTTGTCTTAAGACTTTTACAGGCTAATTTTAGCTGAACAAGGAAATAGAGTCCAGTAACTACTAGGAAACATAAATTAGCCTGGCTTACTAGCAGTTCCTGGAAGTCTTTGTGTTTTCCAACAAACTCATGCAAATCGTGTTGTGAAAGAGAAGCCACAAAGCAGAGTCTGGGACTGTTGGGGTTATGTTGGTCATTAAACCCCTCTCCTTTTGAGGTCTAGGAG